AGAAGTGGCGTCAAACTCCTGCTTATCCAGGGATGGAACCATTCTTATCCTCGTGTTAGACATTTAGGCCCCGTTCGGGAGGGATTAAAATCCAATTAAAATTGAAAATATGACCGTTATTGGATCCCACTCATCTAATAAAAGTCAACAATAACGGCTATATTTTCAATTTTAATCCGATTTTAATCCCTCCCATACGAGGCCTTAATAATGAACTATTTCTTTTTATTGTGTCAAACATTTTAAAGTGGAAGATAATGAATTGCTCTCTTTTGGGGTCTGGTCTTCGGAAATCGTAATTCTACAATGGACTAGCAAAGTTGGTATTATTTTTCTTGTTTTCAAAATTTAAATGAAACAACTGCATGTATTTATGTCTGAAAAAAATTGATGAGGTAGGAATGCATGTAGAGATAATCTAGATTTCAATTGATTCTCTTGATGATGTATTTACATACTATTCTTCTTTGTTTCAATTTTGTAATTTCACTAGGGAAGAGATACATTTTTTATTTTTTGTTTTTGTTTTTGTTCTTTCAGATTGTAGTTTGTAGGTTATGTTGGTGTTTTTGTTGTACCCATCCTCAAATTTCAATTGCAAAAAAAACGCATACCGGCAGCTAGCGATTTTTTGATTTATTATTTACGTTTATGATTTATGGATGTATTTGTGAATTGTGAGCGTGTAGTATTTACTGTGAGGATTTTGAAAAGGGCGTGATTTCATTGTTAAGGTGGGAAAGCTCGGAACTGGTAGTGATTTGACGTACAGAATTTCTGTACATCCTGGAGGAGAATGCCTTATTTGTTAATTGCCTAAGAGCTGCAGGTACGTTCTGTAGCTACATTTCCATGTGAAATTGGCGATCATGTTATGGCCAAGATTGTCTTTCCAAGTCTTAGAGATGTTGAATTTACTCGATTGATGTTCAAACGGAAATTTGAAGTAAAACTACAGTAGAAATTGAGTTCATTGTACCTTGAACTACGAATTCAATTTATACTTTCATATCAAACAACCATAGTAGAAATTGACTTCATAACATTTTCCATGGAATTTAGCCCCAATCAAATGGACACTATGTTATTATTAGTGTTATCTAAATCTTGATAGGCGTTAGATAGGGCTTGGTATCTCCAACATCTATCTTGACTTCATTTATCACACTTTATCTCTATCGAAGTTCATTTATC